GAAGAAGGAGGTCACATCCTCTGGACACGGGGTTTGTGTGCTGAGACACCGCTGCCCTCAGGAGCCCTGCTGCTGGGCGTCTGGGACCATGGCAGAGCTATGTTCACTGAAAGAAAGCCCAGCCTCGCACAAATATACCGCGCTGCCATCCAGCCACCTGCCCAAGACCTGCACCAGGTCTGCTGAGGATGGGGGTGGGAAGCTCCAATTACCGCAGGGACAATGGCACCCGGGCAGGCCCGCTCGAGAATCCCAGCTGGGACCAACCCCTCCTGGGCTTGGCCTGCCAAACTTCAGCCGGCAACACGGGTATTACCCGCTGGGTCTGGAAACAGGCAAGACCGGTGTGCAGCCCATACACGCTATGTACACGGTGCTGAGACCAGCTTAACCTCCACACCCAGGCAATCCAATGTCACCTTCACTTACCCTCACCAAACCCTGGTGACCACTGTCATGCATCCCACCAGACTGCTGACAGTCCCCACAGGGAGACAGCACCCTTCCGCCAGCGTAGGCACGACCGACAGCGTCCTTTGGTTAAGGCCCCCCACACGAGGGTTGAGTCAGGAAACAACAATTTGCGTTCTCCCTCTTGGACAGTCACAGACCAGCCTAGTCCTGGCAGAGGTGAGATGCACTCAGACGGGAGGTGGATGTCAGCGTGGAAGTCTTGGCGCCTGCAGTCCTAGAGCCCTCGCTGCCTTTGCTAGCACACCCAGTGCTGGAGCAGGAATCCCCAGGGCACGCTGAGCTAAGCCCACTGCTGTCAGAGGGTGTCTTGCCAGGGGGCCTTGGACTAGGCTTGCCTTGCAGAGGTTCTGGCCTTTCTGTAAGCCAGAAACAGTGGAAACTTGCCTCCCCTGTCTGTCGCTGCTCCTGGTAGCTCTCAGGATCCACAGGGACTGCATGGGGAGTGCCCCAGCCTGGCCCAGCAGAAGAGAGGAAGGCAGCCCCACATCCCCTGGGGCACAGCAGGCTGCACCCGCCAGCAGCAAGGGGCAGAGAAGCCAACTCCAGTCAGTCCCATGCGGCGTGCTGTGTCACATGATGGCCACAAACGGAGTGCCTGCACAGCCTGAGAACACTCCCCATATCTCCTCCAACAGCGCCCTGGACTCTCTGACACAGGGCCAAGAGTCTCGTTGCTGAGCAAGGCTTGTTCCAAGCTAGTCACAGTGCAGCGTGTGACGGCATGTGCTGGGGCTGGCACCTAGCCGGCTGCAAAGCAAAACTACCTGAGAATCAAACCTCCCCACAGAGATCTGTGTCTGGCTGGGCAAGCTGGGTGCACACGCACAACTTCCTCAGGGCCCTCCAAGCCCACAGCTGGCTCCTGGCAATGCTGCTGACAGTCTCACCTTCAGCGTCTTGTCCAGTGACGATCTGAAACGGGGGCTCAGAAATGGCCCAAACGGTTTGCAGCTAGCTCAGCATGGAGCAGGGGGGGCACCCCTGAAAGGTGGCGCAGGAAAGGACGCAAACTCCCCGAGTCAGTTCCTCTGCGAGCAGGGAAGCAGGTTCTTCCTGTTATGTGATCTTTGTATCCAGAGAACAGACCCCATGGTACCGCAACAGCAAACAGCTATACAGCACAGAGGGCTGGGCAGGCCCGGGGGCAGGAGCCCAGGCATTGTTAGCCCTGTACTGTAGAGTGGTGGTAAACACTGTGTCTGCAGCTGAACTTGTATCACCAGCAAAACCTCAGTCCCGGTCTCTGGGACCTGCCAGAATGTGCCTTGCACACCACGTGGGGTCTCCAGCCTACTGGTGTCCATCAAGGATCTCCTGCTAGGCCTCACTGCCTGCCAAACCTCTTAAATTTGCTCCCACATAATTTAGGTCATTTCTATCTGCAATGCCAGGAAATGTCCTTTTTATGTTCCCAGGGCTGGACTCAGGGCTTCGTCTGGAGCCTTGACCCATCTCAAGGTTCAGGACCCAGCCCCACAGCCTTTCCATTGTCCCCTCTAGCTTGCCTGGTCTCAAGGCCTAGGTCACTTGCATGGAGAGCAGACACTTACTGTCCACTGCAGCATTTCCTGACAGTGCTATGCAGACTTGGGCTTAAACAGGAGGCCCCAGGCCTGTGGGAGCACTTAGTTAGCAGTGTTGTTCCAAAGTGCCAGGTTATGGCTACAGTGGCACCAGGGCTTGGGGGCTGGTTGCCCTTCAGAGGGGAGGAAGTTTCTAGCTGTGCACAAAATCACCAGTGTGACCAGTGCTGCAGCACAGAGGGATCTGCCCAGACCTGCTGGAACCAGGCTGCAGAGGTGTGACAGCCCTGCTCATTGCAGGGGGAAGAAGTGACTCAGATCAAGGTGGAGCATCCTCCTTCCTAACTCTTTCACTGCTGATAAACCCATGCCAGAGGGGAGGGAGGGTCAGACTAGAAAAAACACAGGCCATGACACTGCACTGATGCGTCAAGTGCTGGTGCTAGTATACGCTGGCTGCTGCCACCCCCTCACATCTGCCCCATGGAACGATGGAAGGAGGCGTGTGAGCTGGTTCCACAGACCTGCTGGGGCTTCTGGACCTCCTTCTCCACTAACTGGGCCCCCTCTCAAGGAGCAGGGCCTAGTAGTCTGCGGGTAGGTGTGGGAGCAGGCGGCCTTTCCCGATACTGCAGCATCCCAGCAAGGACCCAGGACTTGGAGCAGAGCAGGGTAGGGTAGGGGTTTGCTGGTTTCCTTTTTCGCTGAAGAGCATTACCTCTGCCCTGGGTGATTTTGCATCAGGCTTGCATCAGTGCCATTTACAACACTGCTTAATCCTTCCTTCCCGCTAGGAAGGCTGCGGATCTAGGACAGTCAGGTTAGTCTGCACTGAGCTGCTGGCTTGGCAGAGAAGTGCTACTGGTCCTGAGCAGCCCATAGTCGCCCACGCAGACACAGTAAAACTGTGCTGTGAATGGCTCACTGCGGTCACTGAAGGGCTAGACATCTGCCAGCTTAAGCCTACAGGTCCTCTTCATGCAATTCAGAGCAGAGCAGATCTGCCCCTGAAGCTACAGGTCCCATCCACCCTGGAGTCCCCAGTGTGCAAACGGCAGCTCTGTCCACCACTGGCTCTTGCTACCAGTTTCCTTACCTAGGGGGAAACATGCTGCCAAGAGCAGACAAACCAAGTTTGCTGATTTATAATTCAGCTACAGTCCAGTCAGGTTTCATTTCAAGTGCAGGTGGGATTAAAGCCACAGCACCACCTTGTGCAAAGCCCAACAACTCAGCCCCGAGGAAACTCCCCTCTCAAATGCCCTCAGGAAGCCAGGGTGCGCAGCCCTGCAGGCTGGAGTGGAAGCCCTGTGCACGTGAGCTGAAAACACTGCGGCAGTGAGGAGTCTGGGAGAGGCAGCTCCCCTGGCCACACCACTTCCTTTCTGCTCGCTGCTTGCCAGGCACTAAGCACAGCTTCTTCCCCACTTCCCCCTTGGTGGCTGAATTTCAGCAGCATGGGGGTTTGTACTGGGCTCAATGCCTGATCTCACAGCAAGGCACAGAGGTAAGTACAACCAGCATGCGGCTGTTAATGCAAACTCTGGCTTCATATTAGAGCTCACGGACCCAGGCATGTAAGCTACGCTGCAGGGACCATGGCTCTGTGCTGGGCACCCCTGTGGGGGCACCATGCACAAGCACTGCTTTTTCTCTCCAGTGCAAAGAAAAGGAGCGTGCCTCTTCCTTCCATCACAGTCAAAGGTTATCTGAGAGACCCTTGGTTAGAAGAGAAGCACGGGAACGCAGAACTTGCTTTGTGAACAGAACAAACTTTATTAAGTTTTGTACCAACAACACTTTCAGAAGGCAAATAAAAATTCAAGTGAGGCATTTATGGCCATTAAGGAGGAAGCATCTAGGCTACAGCCTCCTTGTGCATGTCAACAGCCAACCAAACAGAACTACGGGCTGAAGTGATCTGGCTTCTTGTGCCTCAGAACTCAGCTGCGTGCATCCGTGCCCCGACAGCCTCTCACAACACAGTCATTTTCCACTTGGGAAGACTGTCATTTTACTTGTACCCATGATTACACACAGACTTGTGAACAACTGGACTTAAACTAAGCCCAGTGTGGGATAGGGGTAATGCTCTCTTCCCCACAGGAGAGCCTGGAATTGACCCCTAACCTGTTTGGGCTAAGACCACCCCCCCCCACAGAACTTCAACATTTCCCACCCCTCTCCCATGACCCCAACACAGCAGCAGGCCAAATTTTGTGCAGGTCCAAGTTAAGGCAACAGAAATGGGATCACCTTAAGGTCAGGTGAATGCATCTCCCCAAATCCCATGTCAAGGGAAGTACGAGACTTAATTAGCCTCGCCATCAAACCAGAGAGTGGGCAATACCTTTAAGCATGATCCATCTTAACAGAAAAATAACAGCCACCAAATGATCTTTTTGGTGTCTGCTCACCTCCATTGGGGAAACAGCCAACGCAAATGGCAATTAAGGAGAAACAGGCTCCCTGGCTTACATTAACCCTGTCAAGGGGCCTGGAATTCACACCCTTCAGGTCCTATGGCTGTGGCCTGGCTAGATGATAATGCCTGACTGTTCCTGAGTTGGAGGCTCTTTGCAGCCAAGGAATGAGGAACAACAGCCTAGAAATAAGCACAGATTCCAGAGAACAGGACGCGGGAAGCCTTGCCCTTTGCAATTCACAGAATTCCTGCTATCCCAGTAGGAAGGATTTACAGCTGGCATCACCATGCTGTCAGCAGGAGGGCAGAAGTACCACTCGGTGGCCAGCAGAAGCAGCTTGCCACACTAGTGTTTTCTGACACGGTTTTCTCCATGATCACACAGAGGCCTGAAAGCTCTTCATTTTCATTATTTCTTTAAATTCACTTCTTGACCTTCTAAACAGGCTAACACACAAACTCCCCCCAATACATCTTGGAAGGATGTTGGCTAGCAGCTAGAAATTCAAACCAGCAGCAAGATAATGATCTGGGACTTACA